GGCTTCCTTCGATTGACCCCAACACTCGTACTGTTTTGATTTGTGGATACCCTAATGTGGGCAAGAGTTCTTTCATGAACAAAATTACCAGAGCTGATGTTGATGTCCAGCCTTATGCTTTCACCACGAAGTCGCTCTTTGTAGGTCATACTGATTATAAGTACTTGAGGTATCAAGTCATTGATACCCCCGGGATTTTGGATAGACCGTTTGAAGACCGTAACATCATTGAAATGTGCAGTATCACAGCGTTGGCCCATCTCCGAGCTGCTGTTTTGTTCTTCCTGGACATTTCAGGTTCATGCGGTTACACCATTGCTCAGCAGGCTGCTCTTTTCCACAGCATAAAGTCTCTGTTTATGAACAAGCCTTTGGTGATTGTCTGCAACAAGACTGACTTGATGCCCATGGAAAACATATCTGAAGAAGATCGGAACCTGGTCGAAGAGATGAAAGCTGAGGCTATGAAGACTGCGATGGGAGCAAGTGAGGAAGCAGTGCTTTTGAAGATGAGTACTCTGACAGATGAGGGTGTGATGTCTGTGAAGAATGCTGCCTGTGAGAGGCTGTTGGATCAGAGGGTTGAGGCGAAGATGAAATCCAAAAAGATCAACGACCACTTGAACAGGTTCCATGTGGCGTTGCCGAAGCCTCGTGATAACATTGAAAGGCTCCCTTGCATACCTCAGGTGGTTCTAGAGGCTAGAGCTAAGGAAGCTGCTGAAATGGAGAAACGGAAGACTGAGAAAGATTTGGAAGAGGAAAACGGTGGTGCTGGAGTTTATTCTGCTAGTTTAAGGAAGCACTACATCTTGAAACATGAAGAATGGAAGGACGACATTATACCTGAGATTCTCGATGGTCATAACGTTGCTGACTTCATTGATCCAGACATTTTGGTGAGACTTGAGGAGTTGGAACGTGAAGAAGAACAAAGGCAGGCTGAGGCTGAAGAAGAAGATATCGAGATGGACGGTGAAGAGCTTACTGAGGAGCAGAAGGAGCAGCTTGCTGCCATTAGAAAGAAGAAAGCTGTGCTCATTCAAGAGCATAGGCTCAAGAAGACCGTTGCACAAAACAGATCAACTGTTCCTAGAAAGTTTGACAAGGAAAGGAAGTACACAACTAAGAGAATGGGTAGGGAGTTATCGGCTATGGGTATGGATCCATCTTCTGCAGTGAACCGCGCAAGAAGCAAGTCTAGAGGAAGAAAGAGGGATCGATCAGAAGATGGGGGTAACGATGCAATGGATGTGGATGATGATCAACAGACGAACAAGAAGCAGCGTGTGAGATCAAAGTCGAGATCTATGTCGATATCAAGATCTCAGTCAAGACCTCCTGCCCATGAAGCTGTGCCTGGTGATGGATTCAAAGACTCCACTCAGAAGAAAGCGGCCATTACGATTAGCCATAAATCTCACAAAAAGAGAGACAAGAATGCACGCCGTGGTGAAGCTGATAGAGTTATACCGACTCTTAGACCGAAACATCTCTTCTCAGGGAAGAGAGGTAAAGGAAAAACGGATAGGCGTTGATGAAATCAGACAAGGTACGTACTACTTAACAATTCCATATCTCTGTCACTGTTTTGTTCTGTTGAGAATTTGAATTTGCAAAATTGTGTTAGTTGATGGTTGTTTGCAGTCTCAGTAACTAATATTTGGATTCTTGCACAGGGAAAACAGATGCTGCTGGATCAATTGAAGAACATCTCTCAAGTTTTGGACTTTCCTTTTTCTTTTGTTTACTATTACTATTATTATGAATGTTATGCATCATCCTTTATGGGTTTTCTTCAGACATGACATGAAACACTGTAAGCTTCGTCTGCGGATTTATTTTAATTAAGATTTTAAAAGTTTCTTTTGATTGTTGATATTCTGCTTAGCTTAGTTTATTTTAGCCTGCTGCTGAAGAAACCACTTTCCTTCATTCCTTGCATTGAAGTGTTTTTTTTTTTTTTTGCAATAATAGACCCTTAACTTTGTTTGGTATACAATTTTTACCTGAACTCGTAAAATTCCACAATTGCCCTTACTAAATTACAAACTCCGCACAAGAAAATCTATATATATATATTCTCCCCCTCTCTTATGAATCCCTAGGTTGTTGGTTTCTGATACCGATACCGGAGGATTTGGTGGAGGAGATACTGTGTCATGTTCTCTGAAGGGTTTACGATCCACATGCCAACGATGGAACCGTTTATAGATGCGCAAGAAAGCACTTTGATAAATCCCCAAAGCAGTTTTTATCTGTCATGGGGACGGCCAAGTACGGTGTTTGTCCGATAAAGACCAATCTAAAAAGTCAGCTTTTCAGTTCCATTATTGTTCCATCTGTAGAACTCAACCCTGAGAGCTTATCCTAATCGATCCTGATAATCCACCTTTTGAATTCGAGATATCTCGAGCCTTTCACTGTGATGGCTTCTTGTTATGCAGCTCCGGAGTCGAAGACAAATCTAGAATCGTGGTTTGGAACCCGTTAACTTATGAAACAAGGTCGATCCGACCCAGGGACCGTTTAGGGAATTGCCAGACCTTTGTTCTTGGATACTGCAATTATAGCAAGAGGTACAAAATCTTGAGTTTTAGTCATGGGAATGATTCGGACATGGAGGGTTCTTAGTTATGATATCTCTCTAGGCTGGTCATTGCCACTCACTGATCAATGTGTGTCTTTGAAGGGAAATGCTTACATGGTTGCCACAAAAGATAATGGCAAAGGACCAATCCCCTTCTCATTGATCAACTGAGAAATCGATACTTGTGCCTCTTCCCGGTCAGTTGCATAGTGGTCATATCGATGAATCTCCAGGTATTTCCGTTGTTAGAGAAGAGAAGATCAAAGGACCAAAGTTGTGTCGTGGAGCAAGATCTTATCATTGGATTTGAGCAGTGATCTTGGAATCTGGTGTGATTATCCTTTCTTGATAGATGAGGCGAAGAAGCTCTTCGTGTGTTCTACGAGCTGGGAAGACAATAAAATGTTCTTCAAGAAGATATACATTGTTGGGGAGGATAGTAAAGTCACATTGGATGGATGTTGGCCAAAAATTTATAATTATGTTCCAAGTTTGGTTCGAATAGACCAAGCTGGACGAAAAAGGAAAATAATGTAATCATCTCTTGATTTATATTGGTTTTGTTGATACAAATCGAGCAAAGCTTTCTTTTGATTTCTTGATACTTGCAATGGTTACTCTGTTATATGTTTTAGTTGGTTTACTCGTCTTTTTTCTTTACACAATAAAAATTTGTCTTTCTTTACACAATAGACCCTTAACTTTACTTGGTTTACAGTTTTCACCTGAACAAAAATAAATGCTTCAATACTAAGTTTACAAAACTCCGCACAATACCCCATATATTTTTTCCCCTTTCTAATGAAACCCTAGATCGTTTTCCGATGTCGATACCAGAGAATTTCCCGGAGGATACGGTCGACGAGATACTGTGTCGTGTTCCGGCGACAAATCTGAAGCGATTAAGATCCACTTGCAAACGATGGGACCATTTATACAAAGATTCAGGATTCGCAAGAAACCACTTCGATAAATCCCCAAAGCAGTTTTTTCCGATCATGGTGACGGTGAAGTACAGTATTTCTCCGATGAGAATCAATCTCACAGATTCGGTTACTGTTCCATCTGTACAATTTGAAGGTGAGCTTAGCTTAATTGATCCTAATAATCCAGCTTTTGGATTCGATATAGCTCGAGTCTTTCACTGTGATGGCTTCTTGTTATGCATCTCCGAAGACGAATCTAGAATCGTTGTTTGGAACCCACTAACCGGTGAAACCAGGTGGGTCGAACCCAGGAAGGGTTTATGGAAAAGCCAAACCTTTGTTCTCGGATACTGTAGCAATAGTAAGAGCTACAAAATCTTGAGCTTTGATAGTGGTAAGAATGATTCGAAGATGTACGATTTCGGGTCTGGTTCTTGGAGGGCTCTTGATTATGATATCACTCCAGGCTGGTCATTGTCTTACTCTGATCAATGTGTCATTGATGGGAAATGCTTACATGTTTGCCAGGGAACAAGGCAAAAGACCAATTCCCCTCTCCTTGATGAAATTCGATTTCTCGACTGAGAAATCTGTACCTGTGCCTCTTCCCGGTCGGCGGCACGGTCTTCATCATTCTATAAGTCTTTCCGTTGTTAGAGAAGAGAAGATCTCTGTGTTGTTGAAGCACAAACGTACATCAAAGACTGAGATATGGGTGTCAAATAAGATTGATCTAGGGACCAAAGTTGTGTCGTGGAGCAAGATCTTAGCATTGGATTTGAGCATTGATCTTGGAATCATGGATGATTCAAGTTTCTTGCTAGAAGCTCCTCTTGTGTTGTACGAGATGGACTGAAGACGAGTACACATTCTTCGACAAGATTTTATACATTGTCATTGTTGGGGAGGATAATAAACTCACACAAGTGGATTTTGGACAAGTAACAACATATGATGGATGTTGGCCAGGTTTTAATAATTATGTTCCAAGTTTGGTTCGAATCGACCAAGCTGATTGCAAAAGAAAAACAGTGTAACCGAATCGAGCAATGTAACCGAATCGAGCAAGCTTTCTTTTGATTGTTGATACTTGGCAATGATCTGTTATATTAGGTGATTGTTCGAGTCAAGTTTCTGAGGACCAAATAGAGTAAAAGGAGTCCAAATTCTGTTCAGTATTTTATTTTGTTTCACTTTTGTTGAAAGATCTTAGATAAAGAATTGTGAAATAATAGTAAATTAGAATTCTGGGAAAAAAATTGTGTGTTTCTTTACACAGTAGACTGTCAACTTTTCTTGGTATACAACTTTTACCTGAACATGGTAAATGCCTCAAATACTAATTTACAAACTCCACACGATCCATAAATCTATATATATTATTCCCCTTCTTTTTTTCACAATAAATTTAAAACCAACCGAAAAAAGAATATATCACAACTTACGTTTGATTTCTTTGTTCAAGTTCATTGGAAAACGGCATTTTAGGTTCGTCGTTTGGGTTGCAAGGCAACAGTCATTGACCTGAGCCGATCAACAATCTCCGTGAACGATGGTCTTACTCCTGGATCGAACGACCAGCATTGCTCCATCAACTTTCTCCACTCTGTTTCACACCGTTCTGGTACCGTAGGTCTCAACGTATTGTTCACAATTCCACCTTTTAATATCAAACAAAATTAGATCAAAATCCAATCCAATTTCTATATGTTTTGTTCAAATATTGTAGAATTGTTTCTGCTAGAGGCATACCAATGATGGCACCACAATGCAGATTCGCGTAAGGTTCTTCGCCTGTCAAAATCTCCCACATTGTGATACCAAATGAGAAAACATCTACCTGCAAGAAAAATGTGAAGTTTAAAATTTTGTTCTTCTGGTACAGTCAATGAAAGACTTCAATGTTTTGATTTTGGACTCAACAACGTACTTTCTCTGAGACGCGGTTGCTGCTACCATTTAGCAGCTCTGGTGCCATCCATGGGAGGGTTCCTCTTACTCCACCAGAAACAAGCGTGTTTCGTTTTATTCTCGACAGTCCGAAATCTCCAACCTGTAAAGGAAACAGTTTGTAAGTGAGATTAAAAAGACTAGGCCTGATTTTATGTTACTACAATTTGGCTTGGAATGGCCTGATTTTGGGGGGAAAAAGTTAAAACCTTGCAAATTGGTCGTTGTGGATCCCTCAAGTTTACAAGCAAGTTATCGCATTTAAGATCAAAATGAACAATGTTCTTCATATGTAGATACTCCATGCCAAATGCAGCATCAAGAGTTATCATCAGCCTTTTACGCCTATCAAGCGATCTGTGCGAAATAGTTTCAATCAGCAAACTCATGATGCCACATTGCAAAAGATCCTACAAAGATTTGATAGATAAATGTGTACCTGTCTTTTCTCTGCAAGACATGTCTCAAAGATCCATTCACCATATACTCAGTCACTGTTGCCATTGTTCCACCAGGTCCATCTGGTACAACTCCATAAAATGCCACCACATTAGGATGGTGAAGATTCGCTAATATCCGAGCTTCTCTCCAGAAATCTTTCGTCTGTTTCAAAAATATATCAGTGAAGCAACTGTGATTTTGAAAATTCCCTTAAAAGTACAAAGACTCGAGACAAGAGCTAACTAAACCTGTCGTGCTTGCTCGGATGATCCACCAGAGAAACAGCTATTCTTAATCCTCTTGATAGCAACATCAGTTCCCCTCCATTTCCCATAGTATACAGTTCCAAATGTACCCGATCCAAGCTCGTGTAAGTCTTCAAGATCAGTGTTTTTAATGATCTGTAAGCCATAGATTCCAGCTTCAATTTCAACCATCGCAGCTTCGCTGAACGATTCATCGGTGTTTCTGCTTTGCTTATGCTTCTCCTGCATTATCAAAAGAGACCAGGGAGATTAACTCCAAACTGACACATACCAGAAAGGCAGAACTTCTAATCTAATAGGAGAAAATAAATTGAGTACCTCCATCGCGGATTCATGACCGGGACTTGTATTATCTTCCTTCCTTGTGTAGGATTTGTGATCATCATCTGACTCGCTATGTACATGAGGGACAATAGTAGCTGACAAGAGAGCATCTGAAGTTACTTCGTTCGTTACATCCTCAACCATCACCAATGGACGAAGCAGGTTGTTGTTGAAGAAGTCATCTGATTCCTGCGTGTGCATAAAAGCAGCATCTCTACTTCCCACCTTCCTAAGTGGCATTCCACAATAGTGAAGACTCTCTTCTTTAGAAAAAGAATTCTGACTTCCTGAATCATCATTATTTGTCTCCAAATCCTGCTCATAGTTTGAGGAAAACAAACTTAGACAACAAATTTTTTTGCTAACTTTACACATAAAATAAGTAAATTATGCTTACGCATTTCGGAATCGTAGGCTCCTGTCTCAGATATTCCTCTGGGAATTTTTGGTTGGATGAGGAGAAATCTTCTTGATCACTTGACGTTGTTCTATTACACAGTTGGTCTGTAGCTGTAGTGTGGCTTCTGATGAGAGTATTTAGTGATATGTCTTGCTTGAAAGCATCCAAGTTTTCCCTTGAACAATCGAGATGATTTTCGTTGGTGTTGACTGATAAAGAGAACACTGAGCTTCCTGAATCTTGTGAATCACTTGAAGTAACCTGCGCAGCTGGTTGATAATTCGGACTGAAAGAGCTAGTATTGTTACTAACGCCATTTTTGGTTGAGATCTGATCAAAAGAACCGGAATTATGATGACGGTCCATATAATTAGGAACTTCTTTGGCGAGCTCAAGCTCCTTACTCTTCCTGCCTTCTGGATTCTTGAAATAGATATCATCACTCTCTTCCCACTGTGACGTAGCCACAGCATGTAAATTCTTTCTCAATATTTTCCATGGTTGTCTGGTAAATGCCTCTAACCCATTGTCGATTTGGCTCTCATCATGCAGCTGCGGATCAGAAAGAGCGTTTTTCTTAAGCGTCACTTTCTCTGGTCCGTTATAAGCTTGACCGAGGGGGTAAATATCGTCGCTTGGCCTCCGGTCATGAAGATTCATTTCTGTATGCTTCTGCGTTTGTTTAGTTGTATCAAACATGAACCTATGTTGCTGTGGGAGGTTTGGAGCAACCATGTAAGGACGAATATTGTTGTCGAAGAAACCATTTTGATCAACAAAATAAGGAATGTCGGTATTTGCTCTCTTGTGAACTGAAAAAGGGGATGATGGAGGAGATTGTTGACCAGGTGAGTTACTCGGTATCTGCATTTTCGGCATATAATGAACAGCATTCGTGTTCACGTATGGTTTCATGAAGGTTGGACTGTTGCAATCTTTGTTTTCCCATGTATGAACAGAAGTAGGCGAGTCTCGAAGATGAAATGTAGGGCTAAACTCTGAAGCATTCCCAAATTGTGTTGTCTGACTTGTCCCGCTTTGCCCGCTAGAACTCTTTTGAGGACTCACATCCACAACACCATTAAGAGCTGAAACATACTGATAATGATCTATATCCGTCTGCTGGTGTGTGTTTCGGTTTATGTTCATATTCCTTTCGTTGAAAAATTTGGGACTCTCTGATGATTCTGTTGAAGAAGATACAAGAAAGACCCTTATCCTCTGAGATCCAGCCTTTGTTTCAGCTTCTTGATACTCTTCAATCATATGAAGAAGATCCTCATCTGAGCAAACCGATATTAGTGCATCAAGATCTTCTCCTGGTAATTGATACTTGATTGTATGAGGATGATTGCACAAAGCATAAGTCTTGTGCATCAATTCCTTTAATCCAACATGTTTTCGTACTGAGATAATTCGAGTCTCCCCTCCAATGTATCTTAGCTTCCCATCTCCAGGTCGCTGTAAGATCCTTCCACCGAAACTACAAAGAAGCTTCAATATTTCCGGCAAATAAACATCTGACATTGCAGTCATCCGAGGAGAGCCTGCAACATTTGATTCAGCTACGTATCCATTCGAGGGATTAACACCTTCTGAAATGTTGGAATCAACTCTTTGAAGCCCGAGGATTCTGTTGAAATCCTCGTAAACAAGTCGATTATTATGATTATCCTCAACATTTCTATTAACAATCTGTGGTGGTACTACTCTTCGTTGAGCACCAAAATCCCTCAAAAACTCATTTGAAAACTCCTCTCCTGTCTGAGAACATTTGTTAATATTATCTTCACGCGTGTTATTACCACAACCGATTTCTCCATTGAACATATCCCTACCAAACTGCTGATTGGAGCTACCGGGAAACTCCATTCTCATGTTCTCAAGAACCAAAAGACTTAATTCTTTCTTATGCACAATTTCAAAAATCCAAGATTTTTCTTATTGTTTTTAGTCTCTATGAGGAATTATATCGAACAGGTTATGGAGATTCATACCCACAACCAAAGTTTCCATCTTCAAACCTCACCTTCAGGGTATATTGCTACAAGATCATCATATGAAATCAAAACATATATCAGAGATTTATCCTCGTTTTGAAAAAAAATGAAATTCCCCTGCAT